ACACTGATGTGAGGCTGGAGCGGAATAAGTAGAGAGCAGAAACCGCCCCTCCTCTCTGAAGAATCAGCAGAGAACATCAGCAGATTCTTGGATATGGGAGGGGTGAAATCTCCTTAGTGCCTGGACTGAGCTTTCCTCTGCCAGCCTTCATCCTGTCTGCTACTGACTCCAAGCACCTATTCTGGGCATTCTCACCTGGATCTGATGAAGAAAAAAGATGGAAATTGCGGCCGTCCATGTACTGATGGCACCTGACTCCAAAACTCTGGACAACCTCTCTTATGGGCTTCACTTTGTCACGCTTGACAACAGTGATGCCACTGGATGGCCAATATGCTGAGAGTAGAGGTTGCTGACTTCCAAAGTATCTGTGCATAAGCACCACGCAGCGAGGAAAAATGTATAATGTCATCCCTGTGATGAATGAATACTATTATAATAGATAGTGGCACTATCAGAGAGATCTGGCAACAGCAGAGGCAAGTCTAATTGGTCATTAGAAAATGTTTTCCAGCTATCCAGTGATGAAACAAATCCTCGCAACATATTTGGTTTTGTTTCCCATTTTATGGATGGAATTGTCTCCTAGCCCAGCATCCCTGACCCCACTGGCTCTCGCAGCAGGCAAGAAATATGCTTCTTCACATTCTCTCCCTTAATGAGGTGCACTTTTGAGGCTGCCTTTCTTTCTGGCCTTTTGCGAGATAGCCGTACTGCAGACAGACAATGAAAACTCCCCAGCTTTTAAGCTCTCACTGCGAGCTTTATCGCTTCTCCGTGGCGGCCCTGTGCAAGCTGAGGGAGAAACACGAGGTCAACATCAATTCCTCAGAGGCAAGGCTTTGCATGGCAGCACACACAATGTCTCCCTGTTGGTTCAGAAGCTGGAGAAAGAAAGAGAACTAGAATGCAATTTAGGCAGGGAACAGAATGTGGTGGTTTCCCCCCCTGGACTAAGAGCAATAACAGAGGCCAATCAAGTGAAGAATTTGGGTGGGTCATTGTTAATGCCTGACTAACGGCTAAGCATGGCTGTGTGTGGCATTGGGAGTGCGGCATGAGCGAAGGCCAGAGCTTGGTGGAAGAGTACATGCTTTGCATCCGGGAGGTCCCAGGTTCATTCAGTCAGCCCAGTTGATGAACCAATCACTCACTTGGTATAAGACAGCTTCCTATGCTCCATTTTCAAGGACACCTGAGTCTGAACCAGCAGAAACACCATTTTCTGAGGATCCTCAAGGTCTGAGATGAGGTGTGCAACACCGGTCTCCGTGATTGGCTGGCTGCATGAGGCCTCTGGAATGCTCTTGTTTATCATTCCATACAGGAGATTCCATTCTTCTTTCTGCAACTCCAGCTTCTCGCTCCAGCCCTCCAAATGTAGACATGGGTGTGGCAGCCCAAGGCTCTGATCTACTAGATTATATCTGTAATCTTTAACTTTTTCAGACTGGGGACTCACCTTTATTGCTCTCTCTCCCTTCTCACTCCATTGCCACAGCCATTGCCTTCCTTTTTGCTCACCTACACTGCCCTGACTTCATGCAGTGATTGTGATGTGGCACTACATCTTCCAATGGGGGCTGCATGATGACACTCTTGCATTTTTACTGTATAGAAAGAAAGATATTGTTATGACTTTCTCCCCCTGCCCAAATTTGTTTCTCCTCCTCTCTCGCCTTTGCTTTTCTCTCTCTTTTCTCCTCTGTTAGACAACACAAAACAAAAAGTCCCGGTGACGTCAGGGGTGCTACCCACCCTAGATGTCTTAACCTATCAATTGAAGATCAGTAACACACTCTCTGGAAAATATATCTCACAATGCACTTTGGAAAATACTTCCTAGCTAGCTGTGAATAAAATCTCTTTTATCCTCTTGTCTGTTTCAGCAGAGCTTCAAGACAGAGACGTGTTTCTTCCCCTGTAGGGAACACTTCCACTTTGGAACACTTTTGGCTTCCAGTGAAGACCCTGGAAAGAGTTGCTCATTCAGATCACATCTCACAATTAAGGCTCTTGCTAGCAGAATTGAATAGATCCCTAAGGGTTGTGCAAATTTCCATAGAAATTGAGGGGTGGGTTCCAATCAAACACGGAAACGCTACCGAGGGAATCCATTAGGAAAACATTTGAAAACTACAGTTATAATGTCCCTCTCGCATAGAAAGCAAGGCTCTTGCATACTGATGGAGGTGGTTCCCCATTCCAGGAGAATGAGGCTGACCCTGAACTGGACATGGTAACTGTTGGGCAAGGCACAGTTAACACTGTGCAGCTGTTTAAGACCGGAAGCCCGTATGATGTGATGCTGGGACCTTCCAGTTTGGGAGAATTGCCTCCTTCAGTGCCACAACAACGCCTGCATTTGATAGTACAACTGATTCCACAGATGTCAACAGCGAAGCCAAATCTATGGCGTCAGTTCTGTCTGGAAGAGCATCAAGTGAAATAATGACTAACCTAACATTGCAAGATAAAATAGGCAAAGATCAGGTTATTCATTGCCTCCCCTGGTGGGCTTTTTTATGTGTGTGCTTCTCCTACTGTTGGCATAGTTTTAGGAACTTGGACGTACATTAAGTGCGGTCATACATTCTAGGACCAGCTTCCCAAGTTAGTGATTTATAGAAACTGCTTTCCCCATGTTGTGCGCCCCAATAAAGTGCAAATGGGTGTGTGAGATCTTTCTCTCACCCATGAGGTAATTTTGAGACCAAAATGCCATTGCAATAAAACTAGGGTGTCATTCAACCTTTAAAAGGGTGGGTTTGCATGGTCTGTGTTAAATGTGGTGTCTCATCATCATGCTATGGTGATCAGTTATGGCAGGACTGGGCAGCATACAGCTTGGGGCGCTGCATGTAGCCCTCAGCTGAAATTTATAGAGGTGGGCCCAGAAGAGGAGGAGGATGAAAGCAGGACAGGGAACCTGAAGTGGAAGGTGTGCTGGAAGGAAGCAGGAGGGAACCCTGTACAAGTGACTAAGTCAGACCTCTGGCAAGAGTGATCTGTCCCTCCCTGGTCTTTGGTTAGCAGCACCAAAGTGACTTCCCTGGCGCATGAACCTGCATAGTGTGTATGGAGGTCCTGCCTAGACAACAAGAACCCCCTCTCGGCCTCACTGATGTGGTCCAAAGGAAAGCAGAGCAATATGTTTGGTACCAGCTTGGCTGCAGGAGTTGCCAGAAGGAGGTGTATAAGACACCATCCAACCTTCTTAGGGACTCCACTCTAGATTTGTGTAGGGCTTGCTCCTTTGCCCTTTCTTCTCCTGAAGATGCCTTGCAAGGCAGCAGGTACAGGTTTTTGCAGTTTACAGTGGTTCCTCTGGTTACATACTTAATTCGTTCCGGAGGTCTGTTCTTAACCTGAAATTGTTCTTAACCTGAAGCACCACTTTAGCTAATGGGGCCTCCTGCTACTGCCGTGCCACTGGAGCACGATTTCTGTTCTCATCCTGAAGCAAAGTTCTTAACCCGAGGTTAGTGGAGTCTGTAACCTGAAGCGTCTGTAACCTGAAGCATATGTAACCCGAGGTACCACTGTACTCCCAAAGCCTTTCTCATGAATAAGTATAGCTGAAGGGTAGCAGAGGTTTAGGGACAGAGTTTTCCTTCTCCTAGATGGGCTACCTTTCCAGGTTGATGAGCCCCATCTGCCTCAGATTTCAAGTAGGTATAGCTTTTCCTTTCCCCTACAAGACAAGCTGCACCATCCAAAATGCAAATGTTCAAGGGACTGCAGCTTTGCTTCTGGTCACCTAGATGTAAATCAGTTCCTTCTGTCTGGGAACTGAGACAAACTTTCCAGGATTCACAACCGCTGCCAATTCTGTTGTTTCTTCTTAAGCCTTTTCTTTCCACAAGCAGACCTCAGAGACGTATTATTTCCCAGAAGAGCACAGAAGGCAAAGAAGCCTTTATTCGGTTTCACAATATTTCTTTCTGCGTTGGAGACGACGAGCCTCTTTAAGGGCGAGGGAGGGGGCAAGCATATGAATTGCATGGCTGGGGAGGGGAGCTGTCTGAAAAGTCGCAACCCATTTCAGGTCAGCCGAGACTCATGCAGGTCAGGATCAATTGCTGGAAAGGTGCTTGACAATTTAGATACCCCTTGTCTGAGGGAATGCGGTGGGGGTCTCATCCTAACACTGGATGCTCCCAATTTACATATGCAGGTTTGTTTGTTTGTATGTTTGTTTTCCTTTGCTGGGGTGGGGGCAGGGGAGGGATGGTGCAAGGGTCTGATGCAGGAGTGGGGAACCTATGATCCCCCATAAGTTATGGAACTCCAACTTCCATCAGCTCCATACAGCATAGCCAAAACCCCTTTGTCCTCTGCCTTTCTTATCTCGCTCTCCAGCTTCAACTGTCTCCTGCTTCCCTGTCAGGGGCGGGGCTGAGAAGGAATGGTGGGAGCCACCCCCCCCTTCTGCTGAACATTCCCAAGGGCAGGAAGACAGTGTTGATTTAGAACAGTGGTTTGTAGAGGGGCATGGCCCAGAGGGCAAAAGCTGGGAAATACTGGGTGAGGAACAAATAGAAGAGGAAACACCAGGAGAAAAATAACTGGCAGATTCAGTGTCCTTTGACTGCATTCCTGCCCCCCCCCTTCGCTTAAGACTAGATGTGATAGAGAGCACAGCAGCAACAAGCTCAGATTACCCAATGTAGGAGTAGAGATGGGAAGGCCGGGGGGGGGGGGAACCAGGTTTTTTCCCGCTTTCCCCCCAAAATCCGTTTTTTCCTGGAAAAATTGAAAAAAAACCACAGTTTGATATAGTTTGAATATTCCACACACTCCCCCAATTTTTCCAGGAAAAAAGAAAAAAGGGGGGAAACCTGCCCCCATTTTTCCATCTCCCCCCCCCCAGTCCTTCCCATCTCTACGGGGGAGTGACGTAGATTAATGGGGACGGAGGGGGTGAACCTTTACTGGGAGCAACGCCATTTCTAGAGAGATATGCATTCCTTTGTCTCTCGCTGTGATTATTAAAGAAACTAACTGGTAAGAACGCTCCTTTCATTTGACCTGCTTATTTACTGCCACCGGGGGAGGGATGTGATTCCCCGAAGCCTGACATTCCTTTGCCTTCCTTATGCTTAGATACTAGAGGCCTTGACTTGTGACCAGGCTATCACTAATTTGGTTGTCTCACTCAGGGCCAAGGGAACTGGCCACCAGGGGAAGCCAGCAGGTTGCCACTTCCGCAACAGGGCTGCTTCTTCTCCTGTGGCTCTCCTTTCCATGCTGCCCATTGCTTCTATCCATTGCCCTCCTGTGGATCCTGCTCTTGCACCAAAGAGGCTCAGACAAAGCAGAGAGGTCCTCTAAACCCCACCCACCCACTCTAGACCTTTGGACAGCCTTTTTGTCTGGTAGCTACTGACTATGCAACACAGCTCTACTCCATGGATGTAGACCGATCAGCCAGCAAAGGAGGATCAAGCCGGAGTTTTGCTGCTAGCTTGCAAGAAGGCGCCCCGGGTAAGGTGGAGTCCCTCTTCACTTTTTCGGGTTGGGGAAAATTTCTGCTGCTTTGAAGACTAGCATATATCTGCAAATAAACAGACATTATAAAAACAGCATTAATTGCCACTATGCTTGTGAAAAGGCTGCCTCTATAGCCTAGGAGCATGAAACAGCCCTTTCAGCCATTCAAAACAACCTCCAGCAGTTTACCCTGCTGAACCCAGGCTTCAGACTGACACATCGGGGGTCACTTTTAAACAAATTAAGTTGTTTCTGGCAATACTGGAAACAACCCAGCTCAGCTGCAGCCAGGAGGAAAAAAACAGGATGACGAGTCTAGGGAGCTGCCATGGAGATATATATATATATATATATATATATATATATATATATATATATATATATATTTGCTTTCGTAGATTTTCACGGGTACAGGAATGCAGGTTTTGGTGTCCTCGGGTGTCTTCCCGTGTAAAAGTTGGGGTGTCTAGGCGACGTTTCGACGAGGTCTCACTCGTCATCTTCAGGCTGGTGCTTTCGGCTTCTTGTTACTGGAACAGAGCAGGATCTCAGTGTTTGAGTTCCTATAAATACTGTTGAGGGGGTGTGGTGTATAGCCTCCAATGTTCTGGGCAGAGAGGAAGTTCCCAGGCTAGTGTGCCTATTCTTCTTTTGTTCCTTAATTACTTGAGGGATATCTTGAGTGATTTCTTGAGTGATATTCTGAGTACCATTTAGGTGGGTCATTAGGTGTGGATTAGTTGCTCAAGCCTTCGTGTCTTGACCTCTTGAACTTTGTGAAAAGTTTTTCTGAGAAGATGGCTGTACTGCACTTAGCCAAGCCAGAGCACAACTAAGTGCAGTACAGCCATCTTCTCAGAAAAACTTTTCACAAAGTTCAAGAGGTCAAGACACGAAGGCTTGAGCAACTAATCCACACCTAATGACCCACCTAAATGGTACTCAGAATATCACTCAAGAAATCACTCAAGATATCCCTCAAGTAATTAAGGAACAAAAGAAGAATAGGCACACTAGCCTGGGAACTTCCTCTCTGCCCAGAACATTGGAGGCTATACACCACACCCCCTCAACAGTATTTATAGGAACTCAAACACTGAGATCCTGCTCTGTTCCAGTAACAAGAAGCCGAAAGCACCAGCCTGAAGATGACGAGTGAGACCTCGTCGAAACGTCGCCTAGACACCCCAACTTTTACACGGGAAGACACCCGAGGACACCAAAACCTGCATATATATATATATATATATATATATATATATATATATATATCCATATCCAAATGGCTGAAAGTACCCTTAGAAATTTCCACTTGAGATACTTAAGACATGCTGAAAAGCAGCCATCTTAGAGACTTAATGCTTATTAAAACCAGAAAGCATGTAAAACAATGAGATTACCCCTTAACTAACGCTTTATCTTGCATGAAGAAAAATACCATCATTGCAGCCTTGATTAAACAGTATTATGAAGCCGGTAGTGATTGTATTTAACTGTTTTGTGCTCCAGGAGTTGCCCTTTTTAAAGAAGGAAATTCTCACTTGCATTAATCAACCTATACTAGTATTTTCACAGTGCTAGAACTGATGAAGTAAAAAGGTTAAAAAAAAAAGTATCACAGAGTGAAAACCTACAGGAGCCATCTTTTTTTTAAAAAAATGCAAAATAAGATTTCTGTTCTCTAAGCTTCCAAATGCTAAGGCAAAATGCAAAACATAATTTGCTTTGCTTACAAGCACACTCTCTGTGCTTGTAAGCAAAGCAAATTATGCCTAATGACTTAAAAGGAATAGTGTTCTATATACACAACAGTTTTTGGGTTGCAAATTACCCTATAAGTACTTTGTTTCTGAATCAAATTAATTGGAGAACAAGTTGGTGCACCAATTGTTCACTTTGGGGGTGCTCTTATTTCTCAGGACAGTAGAATTGAGTCAGGTGAAACAGTCCCCCAAGAAGTAGCTAACTCCCACCTCTGCCCCCCATTGCTTAACACCTGTGGGTAGTTGTAGAAATTACATTCATAGTGTGCTTCTCTTTCTTATTATCAATCAATATACTGTTACACGCCTCCTCAAACTCCAAGTGGTGCGAGATCCCAGGAGTTCCAGGCGCTTACCAGGGTTCATGTTTCCTTTGGAAATGAGGCACAGTGGAAACTGTAGTGCCTTTATGGTATATGGTTTATTCACACACACATATATAACCTGAGCCTACACTCCAAGAGGGTCCTGTTTCTCCCATTGCTACAGCCGTTGCTCCAAAAAGAAACCAGACACGGCTCTCTGTCCCTTTGCTTAGCTTTCTGCATTTAACAGACGGACAAACATTTTCCCCCTAGAACAAGCTACTGCTAACTGAAAGGCCAAAAGCTCCAAACTCTAACTCGGAGCTGAAGGAAGTGTCCCTCTCTCTGGTGGGATTCCTAATGGCCCATCACTTTCCTTTTGTTTTCCTTAATGGCTCATCCCAGGTGATCCCCAGAGCATGGGAAGCCAGCCTGGATTGATTTTAACTTGCTAAATCCGTGTCTTGTTGGTGACCCCAATGACTTACATTGCCAAGTATGCACAAATGGGTAAGTAAAACCAATGGCTAGTAATTTTGTGGATTTATTTGCAAGGCTACTTCACAGGGACTTTTCCTTCTCTGAATGTAATATATGAATCAGCTGCTCTTTCCTATTTTCCTCATTCATATGACCAATGCTTTTTTTCCTAAAAAAATGTTTAGGGGTACTCTCATTTTGACTCAAGAAAACCACCATTTTATAGTTCAAATCAGGGGAAATGAATACAGTAAATGGACAAAAGTACAAAGCTTCACAAAATGTTTAGGATATGCATACCCCTGCGTACCCCCAGAAAAAAACACCCGCAGAAAATTCCCCCAGCCTTGCCCATCTTCTCTGCATGTATTTTTCTAACTTTTGTGCCCCAGGTAGCTTTCCTGCTTGCAACTTTTCCCTTCTTTCTACTTCTTCCCATCAGTTGTCCTCTTTGAACTGGACCTGACTTCTTCATCAACAGCTCCAACCTGTCTACTCTTTCCTTGGGCTTTTTGCTGGTTCAGTTCCCATATCCACACCCTGGACAATACAACCATACTTGGGAGGGGAGCACATGGCTAGAATTCTGCAACACCAACAAGTCAAGAAGTCAACTGGGTTTCTCTCCTGCACTGAAGTTCCAATAATGCAGAGAGCAAGAAGCTTAAAGAGCTGAGATTCTCAAGATTCAGGCAGAAGTCGTTCAGGTAAAACTGCCCAAGGCAACCACTAGACTGGATCGTTTGCACGTTTGGCTTGGGTCCCACCAACCTCATCTTCAAGGTTCTCACCTTAATGTTCAGTTCACGATGAAACAGAAACAGAAATTAAGGGTCAGAGTCAGTTCAGTATATTTTATGATGCTGGCAACGCACAAAGACATTTGGCACACAGAACACCTGCTAGCTGGTCTAGAGACACTTATAAAAAGCACATTTTGATATCCTGCCAAAATTCGACTCCACTGACCTTCTAGCGATGTAATAATAACAATAACACTAAAATGTCTGGGTAAATGGAAGTGAAGCGAAGCAACCGTGAGTTTGGCTACAGCTGAAGGCCAGACTGGTGGATATCCTTAAGATGTGGATCCTCTGACTGCTAGCTCACATGACCGATGGCAACGGAGAGAATTGTCTATGTCTGGCTCCCTCTGACAATGTGCTACAATCCCAGAAAGCTACAAGAATACAAACCTGGCACACTGCTGAAGGTGCCTCTGGAGTCCATCCTGTGGCTGCTTCCATGAAAGCCGCTTTTCAGTTCCGCTTCAGCTTGTCTGTTGAACCATGCAAGGGGCACAACTCAGCCAAATGCATTACTGAAAAATGAATCACTTTGCTGAATATTCAGTGTTTCATTGCTGTTCATTGCTCTTCTCTCTCTCCCGCCCCACAGGCTGCTGCCTTCTTTGTCTTTGACCTTACAGCCCCTTTGGTCTCAATGACATCACAGTAGTATACCTGTGATGGCGCCATGGACACTCATAAACGTCATCACATGGGTCACCACAGCCAATCAGACTGTCCTTGGTGCCATCACAAGTATGCCACTGTGAAGTCATTGAGAGACATCATACGCGTCACCTAGTTGCGCCCTGAGGGCCTCAAGCCCTTCCCCTGAAAATCACTTCACACTGACATGTAATTTTAGTTTAAGTTATTGGGCAAAATTTAGGCCACAACTTTATTGATTACAGCAAAGTGAGTGGTGTTGGCTTAGGCATTGGCAACAGACTATAACTGATTCCTGCCTCTCTGTCTGGAAGTCTGAAAGGGTAAACACCTAACGAGGGAGCAACATCGATGAAGACCAACGAAGCTTACCCCGGGGTTCCTGTGGTCCTGGCATGGCCTTAGCCCCTCAAGTGGACTTCAGGCGAGATCCAGGACCCCCAGATTCCTTTACCGGAATACCCTTATTCATGGAGGGGCAGGTGATGGCCGCACCTCCCCTCCCACACACTTCAATAAGCCAATCCCTAACCGCCAAACCTTACAAAGTTGTGACGATTGCTAAAGGGGTAGGCAAAAACCAAGTGGCTACATCCAATCTGCCAAATGGAAAAATTCCTACCCAGCCCCTGCTCCAAAGCAGGCGACCCAATCCAAAGCAAGGCCAAAGCAGCAGCACCTAAAATTAGGGAGGGAGGGTGGGTGTTCGGCAGCGCGATGCAAGTTCCCCCAGTTACGCTGCGCAGCCACTTTTATAGGCCCCAGGAATCACCCCAACTGCCCCGATTGGCCCAAACAACCTGGCATGATCCCGGGGCCCAACGGTTAAGGCTTGGGCCATGTCTGGCAAGAACTCTCCCAGTGGCGGTGGCTATGGGGCCCGCGCACAACCAGGACCCTCATTAAGGAGGATCCCATCTCACAGGATCAAATGACAAGGAAGTCAAATGTGGCGAAGAACAGGGGGGACACTGGAGAAAGAAAATGCCACAAGGAGCAGCATTGAAACAACGGGGCTGCACTTGTAATGAAAGCACTGAGAATTTTTGAAAAGGGAACCTA